CCAAACCTAGTAGAAGGAAGAAAATTATAAAGATCAGAACAAAATTAACAAAATTTGAGATTTTAAAAAAAAAAAACCTACCAAAACTAGATGAACTTAAGAGCTGGTTCTTTGAAAGAACAAACAAAACAGACAAACATCATCCAATCTCACCAAAAAAGAAAAGAAAGGGCCGACTCAAGGCAATTAGAGATGAAAAACACAAGACCACCATGAACGCCACCAAAATCCAACCACTAGCAGCTACTATGCAAAACTGTGCTCCAGCAAATGGAAAACCTTGGAAAAAAGATCAGATTCCTAAGCACATATGAATCACCAGACTGAACAAAGACACAAAAAACAATAGGTAATGAAATTAAGGCAGTAATTAAAAAAGAAATCTACCAACTAACCAAAGCTCAGGACCAATGAATTCACTGTTCATTTCTACATGACTTTCAGGGAAGATACAATGTCAATACTCTTCAAATTCTTCATAGAAACTGAAAGGGAAAGACTACTTTCAAACTCATTCCTGGAAGCTATCATTACCCTGCCTTCAAAACAAGACAAGGACCCAATTATAAAAAATAAGAACATTAAAAAAAAAAAAAAAAAGCTACAGGAAAATCTTTTCAATAGCATAGACTCAAAAATCCACAACAGGACACTGGCAAAGAGAACACGAAAGTCATCAAAAACACCTTGACCTACACATCAGAGATGTAAGGGTGGTTCAATTCGACGTATGTAATACACTGCCTAAATAGAAGCAAGGACAAAAATCACATGCTCACCTCAACAGATGTAGAAAAGCCTTTGACAAAATCCAGCATCCATTCATGACTAAAAACACTAAAGAAAATGGGCAGCAGAAGACCTAACTTCAATTTTTAAAAACTTCCAACATGATACTTAGAGAAAGTTAAAGATTTTCCCTCTACAATCAGCAACAAGGACATCCACTATCAACACTCAATGTAGTTCTCAATACATTAGCCAGAGCAATGAAATAAGTGCGAAATAGACATGTATAGTAAAGGAAGATCAAATTAAAATTACATGCAGATGACATGATCCTCATAGAGAAGATCTAAAAAGTTCCATTAAGACTCTTAGAATTAATCACCAAATTCAGCAATGTAGCAGGATACAAAATCAAAACACAAAAATCATTAGCATTTCTAGACTCAGAATTGTTCCTCTCTATGGAAATCTTTAGATAAAAGATGAAAAATTTATATGATCTGAAGCAAAGCCAGAGTATCCAGCAGCATTTCTAGAAACCAATAATGAATTCACCAAGATAACAGAAAAATAATGCATTCATAACACCATCAAGAAAAATTAAATACTTAAGAAATTAACCTAACCAAGGAAATGAAAGATCTCTACATCAAAAACTACAGTATTCTGAAAAAGGACACCAAAAATGAAAAAAAATCCCATTCTTGCATAGGCAGAACCAGTTAATTTCAAATGTCCAGACTTCCAAAATAAATATACATATTTAATGCAACCCCAATCACAATACCAATAGCATATTTCACAAAACAACAAAAAGCAGTCCTAACATTCATATGGAACCAGAAGAAACCTATAATAGCAAAAGCAATTCTGGTCAATAAGAGCAAAGCAAGAGACATCATGTCTCCAGATTTTAAGTTATAAAACCACAATGATTTTTTTTTAAATGGGGCTGGGGAAATGGCTCAGTAGAATAAGTGGTTCCTGGCAAGCATAAGGGTCTGAGTTCAATCCCCAGTTCTGAAAAAAAAAAATTATTTAAAAAAAAAAACAAACAGCATGGTACAAGCACAAAAACTCACACATGGAACAACAGAACCTATTGGAGGATAGAGAAATAACCCAGGCACATTCAGCCATCTGACCTTTGACAAAGGGCCAGAAACACACTGGAGGAAAGACAGCCTCTTTGGCAAAAGGCACTTGGGAAGACGGCCACACACATGCAGAAGACTGACCGTACGTCTCACAAGGCACTAACTGAAACCTAAACAGACCAAAACTTAAACAATGCAACAGACACTAGGTAAAGTAGGTTAAACTTCTGAAGATGTAGCCAAAAGCAGGACATTTCTAAAGAGAACCCCAACTGCATAAGAAATAACACCAAGAATCAACAAATGGGCTCATATCAAATTAAAAAGCTTCTGCACTACAAAGGAAACGACCAACTGAATGAAGAGACATAAAATGGGAAAAAATTTCCAAGCACCCCTCAAGCAAAGGACCACTATCTAGAAATACAAAAAACTCAAAAACTCAACCACTGCAAAATAGAAAGACCCAGTCAAAAGATAGGCAACTGAAATAAATAGACACTTTCCAGAGGTACAATTGGCCAATAAATATATTTTAAAATGTTAGTATCATTGACAATCAGAAAAACCAAATTGAGACAAACCTGAGGTCCTCTCTGACTCCAGAAAGAATGGCCACCATCACGAACTCAAATAACGGGCTGGGGATGCAGCTTAGTGGGGAGTGCCTGCCTAGCAAGCGCAAGGCCCTAAGTTTGATTCCCAGAACAAAAAATAAATAAATACATAAGAACTCTAATAATAACAAGTGTTAGCTAGGCTACAGGGAAAAGAAAACCCTTCTACACTGTTGGGAAAACGTAAGCTAATATATCCACCACGTAAATCAGCATGACAATTAACAAACATAAAAAATAAAACTGGAAATTTAATTTGACTGAACTATTCCCTTTCTAGGCATCTTCCCAAAAGAATGAGATATCATATCACAGTACTATGATGCACAACTCACTTACAGTGCACAACTCTGCTTAGAAATCGCCTACCTGTTAGCAATTTGCACAGCGGAGCCCCATTCTGCTATAAAGAAAGATACATTGGAGTCACTTACAAAAGCAACAAAAAGCAATTTGAAGCAGTAATGTTAAGTGAAATACATCGAACCAGCATACATACCCCACTATCCCTCTTACACGAGAAACCCGGAGTGAAAATAAATCAAAGAACAAAACACAGCACAGACAGCAGGAGCCACAGCACCAGGCCTCTCGCCAAGGGAAGGCAGCCGCACGGGAAGGACGCACAGAGGAGCTAAGAGCTGGGGGCGCTCCGCAGAGCACCAGCTCTCCACGGCGGCAGGACCACCACGTGCTGCAGACGGTGCTGGTGAAGATTAAAATTAGGAATTAAATTTACAGAAAAAAAGAATTTTGTTGTAACATGACAAAGTAGACCAAGACAAGTGATATATAGTGAATATAAAAATAAGTCATATCTACTAGTCGTGTGAAGTATCAGAAAAAGAATAAAGTAGGACGTGAAAATCCATTTTTCGTTGTTTTCAGACCTTGCTATATTAGATAAACCAAGACCATCAAACTTCGTATTAATTTAAGAAACTGTACGTCTAAAAATCTTTTACATGGCCTAACCAATGAAGTTAAATAAGACCAACTGGAAGATGAATTTTCAGGTCAATTAACACAATTAGATGACTGAGGATTGGCAAGCTTAAAGGAATTAGATCATACTAAGCAAAATTACATATCTGTAAAGATTTGTAAAGGACAAAAATAAGTTAATAAATCCAAACATGGCTTTTGTTTGACTGAATTCAGAAACTTTTCAGAAGAATCCAAGCTGCCCCCTTCCAGACATACCTGCAGTTACTGAAGGAGAAGGCGTGAAGAAATGACCCGCACGCCCTCCTACGGAGCTTTCCTGGGAAGTGCCAGTCTTGGGGTTACTAGTAAGCCCAGACGCACCAAAAGATTGCATCAGTGATGCTAAACTTCAAAGAAATCATTCCTGCTTTAACAGGCACACATCCCTCCCCTTACTCTGCGCCACAGTGAAAACAGAAATCAGTAATTCCCAAACCACTAAATCCTGTGCATTGTGAGCACAGTGAACACGCGCATGAGGGAATTACAACTAAACGGGTCGGCACCAGTTTGTCTTCTGGCTCAGAGGTAGCTTTGGATGAATTCGTGATTATTCCAAAAAATTCCACACCAAACTGACTGATACAGGGCAGACGCTCTCGCTGGGTCCCTCACCTACAGTCAAAGCTTTCGGCACAGGCACAAGACCTGGACTGCTCCTGCCAGGGTCATGAGCCTGAGTGGTGCTGAAGGCAACAAAGAGGACGCTACCAAGAAAGGGTCGCCATTTCTCACAAGCGTCATAAATACACAGACGTCAAAACAAGCTGTAGTTTGAAAAACAAATCCATTCTTATAAAAAGTTAAGAGACAATCATCTCTATGTTGGAGCAGTCAGTCTTCCCCCAGTTTTAATACCAGGCCAAGGTGTCAGCATCAGCTTTTTTTACCAGAGACAATTGCTATGTCATATGAAAACATGATAAACTTGCTTTATTAATCAAATGGTTGAATGGCACTGATGTATTTAATATACTACACATTATAAATTGATTGAAATTACAGAGATCTCCAATTGGAAATGGAGTTTTAAAAAATACAATTAATATTTTCAAGTTTTATGTTTCACTGAACATACAAAGAAAATCATTTGCTTCTGTCACTGTTGAAAGATTATCTAGTCCCTTCATGTATTAAAATAGAAGTGAGAAAATATACCCTGGAAATCTAGAATCTGAAGTACACTTTGAAAAATTGAAACAAATTAGGTACAACCAATTTTGACCATTGCTGAAATGCAAAGAGACAGCACAGGAGTTGACAGAAGTTCAATTAGTTGTTTGCTGAAAACACAAATGCAGGTGCCTACAGTGCTTACACTGTTCTACTTTTCAGACCCAAGTACAACGTAAGTCCTGAAAGCCTAAACATCCACCTCTGCAAACATTTCTGGATACTGAAGGATAATTTCAAAGCCCAACAGGATCACATCTAAAATGAAGTTGCTTTTTCTCCTTTATAAAATAGTTTTGCTTCAAAAAAAAAAAAAAGTTTTGCTTCACAAATACAGAAGAAATAAGCACAGAGAGACATCTAGAATTTTCAATCTGTTTTAAATCAAGGGATTGCTGCTCTTGAAAATTTTCCCTGTTAGGCTTTCTTCAGTCTTCCTTCTTCCAGGTGGCTTGCTAGAGATGTGCGTCAGCCACGTGCTACCCCACAGAGGCAGCGGTACTGGACGCCAGCGCGACAGGCAGTATTTACTTCTGATAGGACTCTCTAACTTTTGCCTGCAGTGCGTCACATGTCTTCTTGGCATCGCCGAGCAGCATGGCTGTGTTGGGCTTGTAGAAGATGGGGTTATCCACCGCAGCGTAGCCAACACCCAAAGACCTCTTCATGACGATGACCTGGGGGCCAGAGTAAAGGAGATGGGTAGTGAGGGACCAGATGAGGGCCTGGGAGGCACACAAACACTGCCCAACAGCTTGGGCTTCTAGCTTGCTATTTCCTTCATTTGTACAGTTCTCTTTTTACATTCAAATTTATTTTATGACATATAAAAATTATATCTATTTAGAGTATGGGGTGATATTTTGATACATGCATACATTGCATAATATTTTAATGAAACTAGACATATCCAGCTCCTCAAACGTGTATGCACTTGTGGTGAAAATACCTAAACGCTTTCCTTTCAGCCTTTCAAAACACACTGTGGTTTCTCTAGCTCACCGAATTACACGCAAGGACACTCCAGAACCTCCTCCCTAACTTTGCACAAACATACAGCACTACTAATTCCTCAGTACAAAGGCTTTTAAAATATGCCAGGCCTAATTTTAAATGTACTTTTGCATTGTATTAATGCTAATTTTTAAAATTTTTTATTAGTTTAAAGGTTAATCATACTCAAACCATTCACAAAAGGTTTGTTAACAATAGTTTGTCTAGTGACATTTCTGCAAAGATTTCTTCTTTGTGCTTTTCTTTATAGACTATAAGTAACATTTTCTAGTAAGAAAAGCAGCATAGTTAGCTTATTCACCTATGAATAAGCCAAAGAAAATGAACTTAATGCATAAGCTCTTGGTACAAATCCTAAAATAAGTGTGGTCGAGTAAAATATATCACTTTTGAGTAAAATATATCAAAAAGTTCCAGGACAAAACACAATCCAGATTCTCTCAAGTATGGAGTTAGTAACCAACAGGCTGGTCCTACAACCCACCATGAAGGGTACATCCGCCTACAACACTGCGGGGTTACAGCCGCTCATAACAGCACCCAGGTGTGTTGCTACCCTGATGAATGTCAAGTCGGTTCCTACTGAAATGAAAAGGCTTTCTATGGATTTCTAGGACATGCAATCAATACAAAACTGGAAGCAGCAGCAGTTTACCCACACATGCTACACCCCATCAGCACAGCCGCCACGCTGCCAACTCTCAGACACTGTCTGCGGCTGCCACGCCTCCTAGACAAGTGGGCAGGAGTGCGCCTACCTGTTCTCTGAATCATCCCAAATACCAAATTTTAAACTTACAGACGTACAATAAAAGGACGCAAAATTAAAGTGAAGTACACATCCATCAGCACACTTCTTCAAAGGCAGACATGAGGTGGGAGCAGGAAGGGTGTGGTCTTGCTAGGGCAGAGGGAATTTACAAGTCGTTGATCTCTCCAAAGTCTAGCAACTAGCTTTTTCCACAAGTAATGTGTATAAGCAAAATTTTCCTTTTTATTCCATGCTATTGTTTGTATTCTAAATTATCTTTCTGATAGACACTTTATAACAACATATAAATTTCCTTTCCAAAAACAGTTAAAATATGCTCCTCTTGGTGTATGAAGGTCACTGTCCTCAGCCACTGTCCCAGAAGAAAGCCATCTGCTTCACTGGACTGCAGCTGGAATTTGGCCAAACTCAGCCCACAAACTAGCAGCTATTTTTTTCAGCTGTGACTGCAGACTGTTAATCTATCCACATAATCCCATCTGGTTCTACATGAGGCACTCACTCTGGTCCCTTGGTGCAAGAGAAGTGACACAAGCTGACACAGGAAGCCAGACCCTAACAGCTCTTACTTCTGTGCCTCCTGGAAGGCAGCATCACTCCGCATCAAGGGAGAAAAGTGTACAGTGTGCATGTGGTGGGCAGCCTCTGGCGAGCACGTGAAACACACACCCCAGCCTCACCTGCTTCGACTTCCACACCTCAAGGACTGGCATGCCCGCAATAATAGAGTTGGGGTCTTCTTGAGCTGCTGAGTTAACTGTGTCGTTAGCTCCAATCACAAGGACCAAATCAGTGTCTAAAGAGAAAAGGAAAAAGCACAACATGCAGAGGTTACTTTTTCTTCTTCTCAGGCAAGTCACAGCGATTTGACCATAGAGTACCACCAATGGCAACAGCTGAGGGCACAGGAGGCTCCCCGCGCAGGCCCTGCGCAAACAGCTAGCAAGGAGGGGAGCCAGCATGGGCCCGGCCCGGTACCTGCGAGGCAACTGCAGACTCAGACTCATCGCCAACCGGGGCCTGGCCATCCCACCTAGAGCCTGCTTTGTTACGCCCACGCCGAGGGATCGACCGAAGCTGGCCTCTAATTCTTCTATCATCCCCAAACAATCTTGCTAGTCACATGATTTTAAAAGATCTGCACCCACTATTTTTAAAATGACCAATTAAGATACAATCTAGTGTCTAAATGACAACGGTCTAAAAGTCTGTCCTGTACTAATGATGTGCCCATAATTCCTGGAACTGGCTGCTTCTATATATAATTTAGCAACAGTGAAATTTAAAAAGGAACATAAAATTAAAATGAACTGAACTCTCTCTTTGTAAGGCCTATAATTTAAACTAGCTTAGGATATTGTCAAAAGTACTATGTGCTTCTAGACATACACACAATTTTAATTTTTTTTCCTAATAAACAGTGCTTTTCAAGTTTAGAATGGGTACTTGTCAAAGAGAATCAGTTTAATTTTAACAAATTTGATCTTGGGCCAAATGTCATCTCTATGGAGCATCTACACAATGACAGCTACAAACTATAGCACCTTATGTTGTAAAGTCTTAGTACTTTAAAAAACAAAAGAAAATTACCTCTCTGATCATGAACTGGTTCAATGAAAAACCAGAAAAATCTCTATTGGCAAGAATCAAGTCTAGGGCCAGAGAGATAGCTCAGCAGACTAAGTACCTGCTTAGGCAAGCACAGGGACCGGGGTTCAACCCCTGGCACCACATGCCACGCTGGCCCCACCCCCAGGCACCCTAAGCCAGCCACTGAGCCCAGGTGTGGTGATGCAGGACTGTAATCCCAGCGCTGGAGGGGAGCTGAAAACAGGAGGATCACTATGAGTCTGAGCTGCATAGTGAGGCCCTGCACCAAATACATTAAATAATAATAATAATACTAAAAGAATCAAGCCTAAATCACCAACAGCAGCACCTCTGCAGATGAGGAGCCTGCCTAGCTCCAGGTGACAAGCTCCTGGGTATCAGGACCTAGATTCAAAGCCAAGTTGCCCAGGTCTCAGGCTCACCTAAGAACTGCATCTACACACTACACCTGCACCATCCTTCAGCTATTCACAGAGGAACAAGTTTTAACAGGGCTACTCCCAAGTCCTTTCCACCTTATTCAGTCTTGTCTTTCACTTGATTTTAATTGCTAGATTACTCTTCATTGATGGGGCAATCATCACTGGTTCTACAATTTATGTTATAACATCACTTCATTCACACTACAAATATTTAAACCTCCTCCTCACCCACCTGGAAAATCGTGGTTGATTTCATCCATCTCCAGCACAATGTCGTATGGCACCCCAGCCTCAGCCAGCAGTACATTAAGCTGCCCAGGCATTCGGCCTGCAACTGGGTGGATTCCAAACCTAGACATGAAACACATGAACAGCTGGCCTTACTCGATGGGCCAAACACACAGGGCCCCAGCGTCACCCCACATCTGCACAGTGTGTTCTTGGCACCTCTGCTTTTTCCTGGTACTATCTGATCTCCACAAGCCAAAGTAGAGTAAGTCCAGATCTGTAGTCAATGTACAAATACTGAATTGGGAGGTCCAATGTCTCAGTAAACACAAACTATAACTCTCCTCATAAAAACAAAGTGTAGCTTTGGAACCTGGCTTTTCCGTGTATGGCTTGGGTGCAATGAACGTTCAGCAACATTAATACACGAACATCGTCTTACGTCTAAAAGTATTACGTTTGCTCCTGGTGCTTTCTAATAAATCTTGAATCTTTAAAAACACATCAACCCGACCTGCAATTAAGTATTTCCAATGAAAAACCAACTTTATTCTATCCAAAGCTGTCTCCACATTCAACTTTAACCTCTACATTCAAACGAAAGAAAATAAAGTATCATTGTATACAGGATGTTAAAGACCTACAATCTCTCAGAGAATAACACGAACCAGTACTCCACATCACACAGAAGCAATGAGACAGTAACACACTGGGGCGATTAGACAGACAGAGTGGGGAGCGCACAACCCGAGCGGCACCATTAAGGGAGAGGGAAGAATCATCACACGATTTCTTCCAGCTATGGATGGATCTTTACTGCTTTGCTTTCCAATACTGGAGCCAGAACCCAGGGCCTCTGCATTGGTCTGTTTTTTGTTTTGGGGTGTTTTTTTTTTATGTATTTAGTACAGAGTCTAGAGTCTCGCTACACAGATTGACTCATAGTGATCCTCTCCTGTTTTCAGCCTCCCACGCACTGGGATTACAGGTGCACACCACCATACCCAGTCTCGGTCATCCTCTCAGCATACCTGGGGGCGGGGCCAGCACAGCCCACTGGGGATCGAACCCTGGTCCCTGTGCCTGCCTAAGCAGGTGCTTTAATCTGTGGAGCTATCTGGCCAGCCCTGCACTGATCTGTATTCTAAGCACTTCTTTATTGTGAAATGGTCTCATGAAGTTACTGCCCTGCTCTGGATGGGCTGAAGTTGAACTCCTCCTGCCTCTGCCTCCCAGAGCTCTGGGATTACAGCGACGCACCGCCACCAGAGCTGAACCCTAAAATCCCACCTCTTGCCCATATTTATCTCCCAGAACTTGGCACATAAGAAAGCCTCTATAAAAGCGAAGGAGTAAACGAACTTAACAAAGAAATGCATTTTAGCAAAATATCGTCCGCATCTTGCACTCTGAATAACTTCTACGAAGACAACAATATACAATGTGTTAAATATTGTAACTGTCCTACTAACCTGTTTTGAAACTGTCTCATTGCTATTTCTTTCTCAATAAATTAATTTTAAAAAAGAAATGCATTTTATATTTATTTGTACTTTTCGATTTTGCCTAATTTTTACCTTGACATATAATTTATTTTATTAGTACATGTTCACAGTGCATTTTACGACAACTGGGGAGGTTGGTACGCCTGCATAACTCAGAGCGGTTTCTTCTCTTCCTCTCCTCCTCCCTCATCCTTTCTTTTCTCATGAACATGGCTTGCCTCGGCCCATGCTTATGACACATAACATCCACCTCTCGAGATTACCGCGACATTTTCCCCAGCACAGCTTTACCTACTTCCCCATCTCCTCCCTGGACAGAGATCCAGCAACCCCCACCTCAGCTTAAATACGTGGATGTATGTCTGTTCGTGCAATATGCATACATACATGTTATATATATGCATATATTACAGAGACTCAAAGAAAAACAAGTTATAGATGTGTGCAGAGAGCCACAGATATAAATGTAAACCAAAGAGAAGTCCCATCTCCCCGTTTTCCAAGGTCTGAGGCTTCACAGTCTAGAACCGCAATCAGCCTCCTCCGCCTGTATACAGGGGCTCCCTTCAGCCGATTCCAGGATGCCTACCTAGCACCATCCTCGGTTCTCGCCACTGGTCAGCGACGCAGCGCTTCCCAACCCGCTGCTGTGCTAGCTGCAGGCTTCTGCACCCCATATCTTGCCTAACTCTCCGACCTCTGAAGTGAACACAAAGTCTCATGATCTACATAGAAGAAAGTATCTTCAGATGTGTCACTGGTAAAGCGTGAGTCTATGTTATCATTTACAGCCACCACAACACCTCGCTGCTTCTCAGAACGCTGACAGTCACTTCGCACGCCTTGATACTTCTCACAGAAATGACTGCTAAGCCGGGACTCGGCACAGGCCCTTTGGGGAAAGGTAAAAGAGCGTGGAAATCCACCCGTCGCCAAAAGCAGACCTGAAAAGAGATCAGCCAGCATCTGTTCTGTCCAGAGAATGAGAAATGATCTTCTAGACCTTTAAAACTCATGAAGAGCCTGAATTATTGGGGTGCTTATAAATGAGGGGGAAAATATCAAGTGACTAATTGTTCCCTTCTATTAAACTTGTGCTTATGTAATATCTACCCAAGATTACTAAATGTTCCAAAACAAACAATTTATGTTGTAAGGAAAAGAACTGAAGCTCTTAAGGCTTTGAGGAAACGATAACCATCTCTAGCAGAAGTATAGTATGCAGTTAGTTTATTTCCTATTTTTTAAAGGCACAATTCCAAAATTAATTTTAAAAAGGCACAGTTCCAAATTTTCTATGGATAGGTACGGTTTTATAGTGGAGAAAATAATTTTTCATTTAATATTAATTTAATTTAATAATTGCACTTTAAGCTTTTTTTTGTTTTTGTTTTTTGCGGAACTGGGGATTGAACTCAGGCCCCTGCAGCTGGCCAGGAAAGGGCTTATTCCATTGACCATTGAGCCATCTCCCCGGCCCTGCACTTTACGCTTTTATATTACGATACAGATTATAAGGTGACTTCTTAACACTCTACACTTACGTCATGACAGACTATAAAGTGACTCCTCGCATCCGTTCACCCTGTCCTACCGCTTTAACAAGTCCCATCTGGAAGCGAGGAGCATGTGGGTTGGCTGATTCAGGCTCACTAGAGGACTTAAATAAACTGGGCTTGACAGCCTCACTCCTCTGTCCACTAACAAGAAGGCACAGGACATATACTAAGACAAGCATCTGATGTGGACTTCAGAATGTGGCTCATACCAGCTATAAGATGTGTCAGGCAGTTTGCACAGATTTTACTTTTCAAGTGAATGGTGAAGATGGAATTCAAACTCAAGTCTTCTTTACACTGACAGATAATTGCGCGCACTTACCGCACGACGCAAACCCTGGCCTTTGTACCCCAGACTCTGAACGTTTCTGTGCCGGGCAGTCAGGAAGCCTATGCCCTGAGCTTTATCAGCAGTCGTGTCAGCTCATGGCAGGCAGGTCACTTGCTCGCTCTCGGAATTCCCAAAGAGCGGTGACAGGGCTGGCCAGATAGCTCAGTGGACAGGGACTGGGTTCGTTCGCTAGTGTGCCGTGCTGGCCCTGCCCCCAGGACACACTGAGACTGGGCGTGGTGACATGTGCCTGTAATCCCAGCGCTTGCGAGGCTGAAAACAGGAGGATCACTACAAGTCAAGTCCAATCTACGCAGTGTGACCCTATGGACCCTGTACTAAATGCATTTTTTAAAAAGACAGAGACAAGCTGTTCTTTATGAGCCAAGCCTGCCAAGGGGTAGGGGATACCACGGAGAAGCAATCTGGGACAGGCTAATAAGCAAGCGCACAGAAAGGTGTTCTGCCTCAGGAATCCAATCTATATTGTGTTTCTGGAATAGTAGAGGGTCCCAAAAGTTTCAATGGCACTACAAGCTTTAAAGTAAAAAAGACATTAAGTCCACGCACAGACACACAACACACAGAAGAAAGTGCCTGCCAGCGCATGCCTGGCCTATCCCAAAGCGAAGCATGTCCTTCAACGCTGGGATGGACTGCTGGCTCTGGCAGCGGAGCAGGAGGTCTGAGAGTGTCTCTACTGCCACCTTCTGCATCAGGTGTGAGGGCTTTGCCGCACAACCACCACTTCTCAGACTTCCTAGACAGCTGGGCGCCCTGTCATCCAATCCAATCCCCACGGTAGCCAGAGCGTAAGGGCTCACACACTAGACAGCCCCACCTCAGACACCAGTCATGGGTCCCAGGCTGTCACCTACATTTCCAATCTATTACATCTTCCTCAGGTTTGATACTTTGCTACAGCAGCTCCCAAAGCTCCCAAAGGTACTTACATTACTGAATCATTACAAAGAATCTAACTCAAGGACAAATGGAAGAGAGGTGAGGAGCAAGACAGGGGTGCTCAAAAGCAGCTCACAGGGCCCCTCTCTGGGCCTCGGACTTTGGGGATTTTTTGGAGGCTGCATGTAGGCGCAACTGATTAAATCACCAGCGACTGAACTTAAATGAAGAACTGAGGACGACAAGTTTACAGTGTTTACTTGAGCAGGAAAATGGTACGAGAACCATGCAGCATTCCAGACCGAAGATGGGTCAGAAAGCCCACCCTACTATGTGTACAGATTATATTTATAGCCAAAGAAAAGGAAATGACACATATGAACAAGCCTGATGAGAAACAACCGGATTGGCTGCAGTGGGTGGATCGCATGCTCCTGTTTCAGCAACTACGATGGGCTGAGACTCAGCTGCTCAGCTGTAGGAGCAACTCCTCATGACAGGCTACAGTGCGCCTCTGGCACCAAGCTAGGTTACAACCATTATGCACAGAAGCTGCTTGGGCCAAACTGACCAGGACGTACACAGCCTGGTCTGGGCCACGTTCACGCTGACCAGGACGTACACAGCCCGGTCTGGGCCACATTCACGCTGGTTCCCTGTCCAGGTCCTCTCTCTTCCCAGAGGGAGAAGGCCCACGAGTGGTACGCAAGTGCTAATGCCCTAGTGACGTGACCGCTTGGTCCGCTAAGCTGCCCTCGCCCGACAGCTGTCAAGGCTCCACTGAGAGTCCACATTAGTATAAACCCAGGCTTGGTTCAAGGAGAC